CTACTCTAAAGCTGCAGCATCGAATGCGGCCTGAGATATCTGCTCTGGGTTTCTTCACATATATACAATGGTGCGCTTATGGATGCACCCGTAACCAGCTCTTACTCTGACGTTAGTGGAAATGAAATACAATGTGTTTTTTGTAGATCACACAGAACCAGAAAGTACATACCTGGAGTTAAACAGCAAAGACAACGTTTTTGAGGCCAGGTTTTTAGCACAGTGTGTAAATATTTACTCTTCCAGAAAGTTTACACTGAAGAACAGATTACTGTTATTACACCATACACTGGACAGATGTTTACCTTGAGAGACAACTTCAGTGACATGCCTAACGTGAAGATCATACCCATTGACTCATACCAGGGAGAGGAAAATGATATCATTCTTGTCTCACTTGTACGAAGTGAAGCACTAGGATTTGTTGCTGACCCAAGTCGTGTCTGTGTGGCCATGTCTAGGGCAAAGCACGGCCTCTACGTCATTGGAAATTTGTCTAAGCTCTTCATCACCAGATCCAACTTATGGAGATCTCTTGTAGACACAATGAAAAAGGCAGGAAAATTTGGGACATCTCTACCATTAGTGTGTAAGGGACATGGAACAACCACAGAAGTCTGTACTCTTGATGATTTTAAGTTAGTAGCCGATGGTGGATGCTTTTCTTCCATGTGTTTCACGACTTCCCTGCAGACACATGTGTCCGCTCCTGTGCCATCCCGACCCTGACAATGGGGTACATGGCAGAATTCAGTGCAAAGAGATTTGTCGTAGATTATGCAACAAGAAAGCTCACCGATGCAAGAAAGTATGTTGCGAATGCAGCTCTAATAGATGTGGCCCATGTAAAGAAACCATAACAACAGAAATCCCGCAATGTGGTCATCTACAGCATGTACCCTGTCACTGTGATCCAATGTCTTTTGTATGCCAAGAAGCTTGTGGTTTTGTTCTCCCTTGTGGTCACAGATGTTGGAAAATGTGTGGTGAGAGCCACGCCCTGGAGTGCACCGAGCTTATCACGCGAAAATGTCCAAAGCAACATGAAGGAAAGGCCGATTGCTATCTCACGGATGAACTCTACTCACGACGCTGCAAAGCTGCTTGTGAAGAGCCCCCTAATGTGTGGTCATCCTTGCCAAGGAACATGCGGAGAATGTCGTCAAGGCCGACTTCATAAACCATGTAAAGAGAAATGTGACCGAACATTGACATGTGGCCACACATGCTCCAGTCCATGTGCCCATAATTGCCCACCATGTGAAAAGCAATGCCCAGTTCTGTGTCCACACGGTCCATGTGGGCATAAATGTTTCCAACCTTGTCTTCCCTGCCCCCACGGGTGTCAACGTCAATGTGAACACCAACAGTGTTCTCAGATATGTGGCGAGAAATGTGACTGTGAACCATGTAGTAAGCCTTGTTCAATGAAGCTACAATGTGGCCATCAATGTATGGGACTATGTGGCGAGAAATGTCCAGACGTTTGCCGAATATGTGACAAACACAATTTCAATGAAAAGGTTCCACTAATATTTGGAACCGAGGAACTTGAAGAAGGGCCTAATGAAATAAGAATTATAATGCTTGATTGTGGGCACATGTTTGAGGTTCGCTCACTTGACAAGTGTATGAAGATGAGCATGGAAAACCAGATTCAGTGGAAACGATGCATCATATGTAACAAACCAGTCTTTATTACAAATCGCTACAGAGACTTGGTTGTTGGAATAACAGAAGATTTGAATCAAATAAAAGATAAAGAGAAATCATTTAGTTCATATGAAAGGAGAAAGTACATGAACCAAGTTGGAAAACTTGTTGAGCGTACAACCATGTTGAAACATCCAAGACATTTTTTTAAGACACATGGAAAGTTTGTCCGATAAGCAATTACAATCCGAATACCACATTTTTTATGCTGAACAAAGTGTGGTGAGGGCAACTGAAGACATAGAGGGCGAGAAGGCCAGCATCACTTCTGTCATATCAGCCCACGTTGCTAAAGAGTACCTGAAATACTTATTATCAGCAATGACCTCACTGCAGTCACAAGCAAAAGACTTTCTGAGCAAGTTACAGACGTACCGAACATTTGTACTAACAGATCAAGTGATACATGATATTAAGGCCGAACAACATCGAATTCAGTTACTTTCAGCTGCACTGAAAATGCTACTTCAACTAAAACTATCTTGTAAAGCAATAAAATCAACTGATCAAGTAAAGCTGGATGGATTCTTAAAGGATCTTGAAATCAATGATGGCAAAAGCTGCACAATGAAAATGCGACCTGTTGAATTTGACTCAAGCATGCATTATATTGAACAACTAAGGAAAGAACACCCAGAAATCTTCTCTTCTGAGATCACTCGGGAAGAAAAGCAAATGATTGTCCGTGCTCTTCAGGCAAAACCTGGTTCATGGTACAAGTGCCCTAAGGGACATGTTTATAACATTGGTGAGTGTGGGGGGGCCATGGAAGAAGCCTTGTGTCCTGAATGTAGATCTGCTATTGGAGGGGGCAGCCATCGTCTTCGAGATGACAACACTCATGCTGGAGATTTCGATGGTTCCCACCACGCAGCGTGGTCAATTGGAGCAAACCTGGGAAATTTCGACCTCCGTGATCTTAGATAGCTTAATTTAATTTGACAGTTAATAACTATAGCGACTCTATTTTGTAAAGACACCAACTTTTTACAATGAAACTTCCAAGTAAACTGAAACATATAATAGCCGTAGTTACTTCCTAAAACTGCTGATAATTTGCGAGCGGGAGCTAGTCTTTGGAACCATTACGATTTCCTGTGGTTAGTTCGTCATACTTTCCAAACAGGAATCGAGCCTTAAAATTCATTCCCATCACTTTGTTAGTCAAGATTTTATACAACACAGTAAGTGTAAGATGCAACTATGAGACTTTTAGACATATTATGCTTTGTCACAGTTTAGTATAATAATAGCTACCTCCCAACAGCTTTGTTTTGAGTAATAATGAATGAATGTAACACTTAAGTGGCAAGCGAAGTGACCTCTAATCAGCTACGTAATATAGGTAAATACGTTTGTGATATTCACACATAAACACTCTGTGCTAGCACCTTTTGTCATTGGTCAGTCGTTACATTAAACCTTGCAATTCGGATGACTAGGAATTATTTACCCTAATTACCAAAACCTATGTTTATACAAACACACCGACCTCAATGTAGAAAAGGCAGGTCGGATAACTGTTTATTGTAAAGTAATGAAGTTGAAGCAAAAACTCAAAAACGGTGGCAATTTAAATACCAACTTCTCCTGTTGGGTGTGTCTTGTATTGATCTCATTACTATCTTTATACCTGCCCTGGGTAAGTGTGTTGTAGGTGTGTACTGTTATCAAGTCAACTTGTGGCTGGGAAATCTCGACCTGCCTGACTGTATCACACAGATGTTCCCATGGCTATCGTGCTATGTGGGTACCATCTATAGCTAGCATGCAACAGCTTGCTTGTGACGTGAATGCAAGGAGAATGAGAATGCTTCCATCCGTACAGGAACTGCTGCAAAGTTTGCTGGTCTTGTCAGCACGCACTCTTTGTTTACTGCCTCTTGCATACATAGGTAAGCAATACAAGATGCACGGCCAACAAAAAACTGGCTACACTAGTGTACTTTTTTGCTTTTATGCAAAGGAAACACAATAGCACATAAAACTAATATTAAGTGCACCCTACCACAAAAATAAAATTCCAAGTATGTGTTCGAATTCATTAAGACTAACGAGTATATACTGAGACAGGTTATTCCATGCACACAGTGAGTTTTGAATTTACAAGAAATGAAGATTTTAAGTCAGCGTTCTAGCAAATGGTACAACAAACGAGGTTAATGTTGTTTGAAGCATGTATAGTGCTGTTGGTAGGAAGACACCAATATGAGTATTGATGGAGGAAAATAAAAGTAACAAAACACAATTTTGTATAGTCCAAACAATCTCAAATATATATTCTCTGAGATGAGAGTGTTAGCTAAGACTGAATATTTCAATTAGGCCAGAATAACAGAGATCCAACTGTTTTGAGCAGATCCTAAAAGCAAATGTTTGAACTGACTTCAGTTCTTTTATCAGTTTTTTGAGTATGTGGGTCCCATGCTCTGCTGGCATACTCAAACATAGGTTGCAGCTTTAGTCGCACCAAAAATAGTGAGTTTACATGTGTAAAAGTTACAACCAAGTATAGTTGCTTTGCCCTCTGATAAACATTACTTATGTGGGTAGCTATTCCAATTTTAAGTCACATCAAGGTATTTTGTAGCTAGTGTGTGTAAGCAGCATGCACTTACACTTGGTGTTTCCTCTACCCCAGCTGTTTATTGCCGAAATTTGATGCGCAAAAATTGCGTGGGCGTCGATATTTTAGTTATTTTTTTCAATAGCATGGCTAAAACACTCGTGAATTATAGTGAATTTTGGTACCTGTCTCGGATTTTCACTCCTTGTTTTACAACCTCATTAGCATATTCATTATTCCTCCTCCATACATTCTCTATGGGAGAGAAAACCAGTGCGCGACTTCACCGGGAGCGAACGGTTCCTCGCCATTATGCGCGCGCAGTAGCGCCTCCTACGCTGATAGTAGAGTGGACAGACCTCCTCATCCAAAGCACGTACGTATATACTATGTTTGACACTGATTATATGCCATAGAGGAGAGGCTGGCCTGCAAGTTGGTCGAGTTCGTCAATAGAAAATATTGGCTCCAGCTGAGTGTGTGCATTAGCTACACTTCCTTGTGTCTGCACACGGACTTCCATTGGAATGAGGCTGCTCGCAGCTATGAACCTATTTCTACAGTCTGTTAATAGGTGGGGCTTAATTTTGTGTTTTTACTCTACCCGGTGTTCTGCGGGGCTATCCATAATTTCATGTTATTTATAATGAGACTTGACTATTTTTCTCATTTACCATCAGCTCCTATCGAAGGGATCAAAAAGTTGACTTTTAGGGCCGGCTTTAAAAAGGTGGCCCACTCTATTTTACAACTACGTATAAGACATACCTGAACACACTTCCAGTATTGCTAATGCTCCACAAAAGAGACGTTGATATCCTGCACAGACATTCAAGTAGTACACGGCATTGTAGAACACTAAACACCAAGGGTTAGCCACCTTCCAAAAAGATCAGGTCACAGATGGTGAGGACCGTGTCCCAGCATGGTAGAGTGGTGAAGAGACACATAAACCACGATGTGATGTACATGAGTGGATGGATGGAGAGTGAGTCCTAATGTATGTGTGCACGATACAAAGCATGTGTAGACAAAATGAACTAAATCATGCTCACTGATACTACTCACACAAATGCGTATCTCATTCACCCTAATCTATTATTCATGTTGTATCTGGGCATCCGTATGATCATATGTGCAAAGACGAGAGTCACGCCACACATTGTCAGCAACAAGCAAAGCAAAGGCAAACAAGTCTACTACACCCAGGACAGCTCTTATTTCCCGGCACTAGGAGGGATTCGAACCCACGACACTCTGCTGTCTAGGCGAGCGCTCTACCAACCGAGCTACCAAGCTAGGGGTTCAAATATTCAACACAATAGGCAAACCTCAAACAACACTTAGTATGTAGGAGCAGACCGGGGTAATTAAACCATCAAAGATACCTAACTCCAGCTCTTTTTTGTAATATACTGAGTATATACATGCAGTGTGTATAAGCTACCAAATGTTGAGCCAGCTTGGTCTGCCTGTCTTTCAACAGAAGGGAAAATATTCCTCCACAGGTTTGCATCCTGATAAAAAAAACTTTTACAAAACTCAGTTAGGAGGGAGTTTTTCTTTACCTTGACAGCTTTCTGTCGTAGAATCTGGCAAGATATTTTTCGCTATCAAATATCGTCAAAATCGACCAGAACACGTCCTGAACAAAACATCATCATAACAACCAGTTGACTGAATAAAATTGTAGAAAATACCTCTTCATTTGTCATGTGCATTAGCAGGAGGGCTGCAATGTATGCCATTCCTGTACGAAGATAAACATTATTATACCTCTCCCTTTCTCCTAGCTAATTCAGTACATTCCACACAAACAGTCCACCTTCATACAGATTTGTGATATACTCTTTTTTAGGCAAATGGACAATTTTTTTCTCAAGAATGCCATTGTGAAATGTGCTATTATTTGCACAAATCCTATGAGTCAGCCAGCCCTTTCATCTACAATATCTTATGCAGCACAGAGAAATAGGGCCACCCATTAAAGTCTTACACATACCTTTTCTCACTACACATCTCTTTTATAAAGTTGCAACAATGTTAAAATGTGATCAACTTATTATTATGTACATACGCTATCAAAGTAGGTCAGTAAAATGTTTGTGGTTACTTGAGGAAACAAACTATATAAACAGGCCAAATAAGGACCTTGGCAATATCCGACCAGAACACGTCCTGAACAGAACATCATCATAACAACCAGTTGACTGAATAAAATAGTAGAAAATACCTCTTCATTTGTCATGTGCATTAGCAGGAGGGCTGCAATGTATGCCATTCCTGTACGAAGATAAACATTATTATACCTCTCCCTTTCTCCTAGCTAATTCAGTACATTCCACACAAACAGTCCACCTTCATACAGATTTGTGATATACTATTTTTTAGGCAAATGGACAATTTTTTTCTCAAGAATGCCATTGTGAAATGTGCTATTATTTGCACAAATCCTATGAGTCAGCCAGCCCTTTCATCTACAATATCTTATGCAGCACAGAGAAATAGGGCCACCCATAAAAGTCTTACAAATACTTTTTTTCACTACACATCTCTTCTATAAAGTTGCAACAATGTTAAAATGTGATCAACTTATTATTATGTACATACGCTATCAAAGTAGGTCAGTAAAATGTTTGTGGTTACTTGAGGAAACAAACTATATAAACAGGCCAAATAAGGACCTTGGCAATATCCAACAGAAGTGTTAAACTTTGCATACATCATCAGCACTCGAAGCAAAGAAATTTTTTCTTTCGTTTCACCGATGTAGAGGCGGTGTGTTGGGAAAGTACGACCTGAAAAAAATGCACTGTACACTAAGTATAATCTAACATAAAAACCTACCTATATCAAGCATTATCTGTCTTGCATTTCTGAGCCATTTAATATCTTCTTCGCTAAGTGGTAGATATTGCCCATCAAGAAGGGCACTTATTCTACGAATATTCGCATCACATGTCGATTCAGTAAGACCACACTTGTTGAGTCTCTCACCCAATTCTGCCACATTTCCCTGAAAAAACACCCATAAACAGAAAATTGCACATGTCAGAGTGTTCACTAACTTTGTAGTCAAAATTTGTCCTGGTTTTGGTTTCAGAAATTCCTAGAAATACTCTCCAGATATCACCTCTCATAGAGTTATGTCCTCCGACTTTAATTAACTGCCGACACTAACATAAAACAGACACACAGGGAAATGATAAGCTGAAGATCACACAACAATCAGTTTATCACCTTCTTCAATAAAATTGGGGGTTTTCTCATGCCACAGGATTCACATTCAGCCAACACCTCTTTGAACGTTTCACACACACTGGGAATACCACTAGAAACACAGACAACACACAGGCATTAAGCTACGATAGAACTAGTCAGTGGCAGAAAGCTACGCAGGATCATTCTTGTACATTATTATGCCGACATTTTTCTAATCATACCACTGGCAAGGCAGGCCTGTACCACACATCAACGCCTCCGAAGTACAGGGCTATAACACTCACACAACCCCCTAGTAGGATGGACATAGATGTGGCTGCAATATCCACCCACTGTCTCTTCCGCTTGTTACTCTCACGAGGCTACCTACTAACCTGTCTTCATAGGACATGTTATACTCTTCTGCAGCACTCATAACCGCGAACCCATGGCTATTAAACAGCTGAGCGTGAGTACGGGTAGCCGCCATCGTTTATTTTCCCGCCAAACTCCGATCTTTTGGAAGGGGGCAGGGCCGGGGATGGAGTGGTTCAAGATAACCACGCGCGCGCCGAAAGTTCAAAGTTTATTTTGGCGAGCGGGGAGAGCGAGCCAACCTACCTACTACCTACCTGGAGCTAGCTAGCTAGCTAGCGAGCGGAGCGCGACGCGACAGCGTACGTCGTGTAAGTGCGCATGCGCGGCTTTGTACGCGCTTCTTTTTATCCGAAATTTTTTACACATTTTCACACACGGTGCCTCGCGATATGCGCCGATCGATCTAGATTGGGAGTTGGGAGGCAGGATGCAGTAAGGAATGCACTGTATTATGCCATAGTGTCAGCGGAACTAATATCACGCTCATGTTCTTTGATCAGGAGCGAGCTATAGCTGCGGAAAGCTTTCAATTTCATAACATTTACCATGTCAGCGAGATTATACAGTGCCATAGAACAATGGTTTGAGGTTTGCCTTTGTGTTAGATTTGAACCCCTACCAGCTGAGTTGCCCTGGTAGCTAAGTTAGTAGAGCTCTTGCCTGTTTATAGCTAGACTGCAGAGTGCCGTGGGTTCAAATCTGTTCGAATCACACTCAGGGCAGCTCTTCTTTTTTCCTTTACTTTCCTGGGTGTAGTTGACTTGTTTGTTGTGCTACTTTGTAGTCGATTCATGACAATTAGCAGAAATCACTTCTTTCATTTGAAATGATATGAGGGTAAACCTGAACTCATGACTCTAGACCAGATTGTTGCTAGACTAGACTGTTGGACTGATGCAAAGCAGCTTCTCCATGTGTTTAGAACACCGTGGAGGTTAGCTATAATTATACCAACCTCAGATAGGCTAGATGAAGGCAAGGACTTAGGAAATAGTAATGGTTCATCCAGCAAACATAGTATTTGGTTGAACTCCCCATTGGTCTCTCGGACTTTTGTGATGAATAATATTTTTCTAGTCTACTCTTTTGTCGGATAATTATAACCCTATGCACCGTCCGTCATGAAGACTTAGTAATCACTTTTTCTTCTGTACCGCATCGTATTTATAAATATCTCACTTTTTAACCTGCTCATAAAACTCTTTTCTTTTGGCATCAGAAAGGCTACTAGGTTATAGATGAGAAGATGATCTGATAACGTTGTGTATTTGGACATCCTATACTGGGTTTCTGAGGCACACGTAGGTTTGCAATCCCACAACTATAAACTTGACATAAATAATTTTACAAGAGTTCCATTTATTTACTGGGCCCTTCGATGTTGACTAAAAGGTGTAATAATAGCCTTTAACCTCAAATGCCCATCTAGAGTCAAGGTTTTACATTTAGTAGTTAGCTACCATTAATATAGTAGCTAAAAGCCCTGGGGGCTGAGCTGGCTGATCCAAGACAATTCACAGTTCGGGGACATGCCCAAGGTGGGTGCAGCAAAAAGGAGGTCATAAAGTATAGCAACATTCACAGATTGCAGCAGAATGCTTAACTATGAACCAGAACGTAACACATTAACACATTTTTATTCTTAACGTTACCAACTACTCTACTTTAGTGACTCTGTATACAGTATAACACTACAGTAATATTGTCACTTTATGGAGAGCATCTCTCATCAGTTACATTTATTGCTCATTTCTTCCAACTCATCATAGCTGGGTAGACCCCTGAGCTTTTCCTCCTTGACACCAGCATACAGAGGGTTCTCCATTACGGCTGCACAATCGTTCTCAAAAGAGTCTCGAAGGCGGGATCGTGGTTGTTGTACAATGTGTTTTTTGCTGTGAAAAAGGACAGCATTTTAAGGTCCCACTATAAAATTTTAACTTACTTTCTCCTCGTGCATCTCAATGCTACACAGAACGTGGCCACTATAACAATAATTATAATGAGTGCAAGGACACCAGCTGAGCCACCAAGTGCAAAAACAGGAACTTCAACCGACTCGTGAGCTGATGCTTCACTTTGTTCAGTTACATTGAGGCTATCAGCAGTTGTTTTTGTTGTTGTTTCAGGTGGTGGAGGTACAGTAGTACTGATGCAGTCACCATTTCCCAGCTCTGTAAGTTCTACTGAACAGTACTGATCCACACTCAGTTGAACACCTTGAACAACGAGATGAGGGTTGGTCGTTGTCCACTGTTTGAGGGTTGTTAACAGCTCTGTGGTATTTTTGTCACTAGTAACTACTAGTCTGCTTTGAAATACAACTTTTTTCAGTTTCTTTTGTTTCACAAATCAGCCTTTCATCTGCAAAGTATTCAACAGGAATGTAGCAGTCACAATTTTTACTTAGTTCCAGACTGATTCCATCTATAAAGTCGCTTATTTTCCCCAAAGAATCCTTGTTCTGTGCAAAAGAGCGGTATTATTGGACATACGAAAAGAGGTGACTCACTTACCACCCACTCCGGACAGTCATGAACACCATAGAAATGAACTTGGAAAAGTAGATTTGTGTACACTATAATTGAAACATACAGCAGAAAAGTGAGTTGGGGGCACACAGTGATAGTCAGGCACATACTAGCCATTACCTGTACTTTCAAAATGAAATAGGTTTACTAAATATTTGGGACAAACAGTATCGAGCATGCAGGCATTACAGATCCGTTTTTCCACAACCACAGCTCTATGTGTGGACTTTTTTATCTGTGTACTTTGGTTCACCCACATGTAAGGGTGCTTGATTTTAAACAGCAGCGGTAACCTGGCCATCAACAGCTACACAGACCCTAACTCACATGGTATGGTGATCTTGGTGGAAATGCCAGCACCTGCACTGGTCTCTGCTGCTACCTCCACACAATACTCCTTTCCAGGCATTAATCCATAACTAATAGTAATGAACACCTCTTGGACTAAAACAGATTGACTTGTTAGAGGATCCAAATCCAAACACTGGTAGGTGTTTAATTCCTCAAAGACTACCACATATGAGTCTAGAAAACCCCTTAGTTCCTCCAGTGATAGAGCCTCCCATAACAGATGTAGTGAGGTGGCATCTGTTCTTTCAGACAGGATTAGTTCTGGTTCAACCGATGGAACTATGGAAAATTATGTAAGCAATTCTAACACTGATCAAGCTCAAGCTATATAATCACCTCCCTCTTCTGAAAATATTATTTGACTCAGAGCAATCCCTTCACCGGCATGTGTAAAAGCAGAGACCACCACAGTGTATGGTACAAATGGTTCTACATATGGGAGATAACTTTTTGAGGGTTTTAAAAAATTGTCTTTACCAATGCCATCCGATACGGTCACGTTTGTGGATGTATCTGGAACAAACAGGGAGACTGTGTAGTTGTAAACTTTATTGTAGACAATAATTTTATATTTGGTCAATATCCCATTGTGATATTCAGGAAGACTCCAGGACACAAGAAGTTCGTTTGGTGATAGTGCGCTAACTTCAAAATCTGTCACTTCCGATGGTACTGTTTTGAGTAGAAAGTTAAAATCTAAAGCAGTCATTAATAATAACCACTTACCTGCTTGACTTGTGCGTTCTGATATTGTTGACGAAAGAGGCCCTTCCCCTATAACGGTACTGGCTGAAATATTGATGCTGATGAGCTGATGTGGAGACAGTCCATTCAACTTGTAAATCCTATCCGTTGCTTTGACATCAATTTCTTGGCTTGTGCCATTGTTATAGTCAGCGTAAATGGTGTAAAGTGTAATGATACCATTTGGGGTGAGCGGAGGTTCCCATTCAATGATCACAGCATAGGCACTGTGGTTGTTGACCGTGACGTTTTGTGGCACATCACTTGGTACTGAACAACAGTTGTAATAGTATAAAGTAACTATACCACACAACGTTTACACTATGCTTACTGTCTTGCAAGGTTTCTTCTGTAGCACACACAGTGCTTGAGTTTCCATTTGTCGTCAAAGCACTAGCACAACAAGTGTAGTTTGAAAATGGAGCCAAATTAACAAGGTCGTACTCCAGTAGTCCAACATCAACAGACACAAGGTGATAGTATCCGAAGCTAGATGTGCAGTTTACTTCATAACTTGTTACACTGCCATCTCTTTCGTCTAGCTGTGGCCCCTCCCAATCCAAGTGCAACGTCATGGAGCTGCTAGCATTCAGTGATACGTTCTGTGGTGGTCCTAAATATTATTATGGTAACCATATTTATTGACTGATAAAAATAATGATTACCGAGACAGCTATGTGAATCCAATCCAAGACTGAAGTCATCATAACAGGTGCAAAAGTATGATCCATTAGTGTTGGTACACAGTTGCTCACAATTAGATGTTCCCTCGAAACATTCGTCAATATCTGCATCAGCATTATCATGACATAGGTATTCATGAGGTATTACACTATTGAGATAATATTATTTTCATGAAGTGTTAGAGTCAATACCTTCGTCACAATTGTCTCCGGTCCAGCCTTCGGGACAGACGCATGTGTATGGTGCAATACAGGTGTGGTTGCTATCACAGTCCTCGCAAAATGCTATTGGGATTTTAGTTCATTTACTCTTAGTCTGATGCATATTATTGACAACATACGTTCACAGCTAATGGCCTCCTGCTGGGTCATGGTAGCCAGCACACACACTCATAAACAGATTATAAGATGTATCAATCGATATTGCAGGGCAGAGCCGTAACTGGTGCTGAGCAACAATTCAGAGCATTCTCATGATGACATCATAAGAAAACAACCCCTCACCTGCCACAACGTGACCAGCCAAAAATTACACATCCAATTAAACATCAAAACCCCTCCCCCTCCCCCGCCCATTTCCTTTTTCCCCCCCCCTCCCTTTTCTCAACCCCACCTCTCCCCCTCACCCCCCCCACCCCACCTCCCCCCCCCCACCCCCCCCTGCCTTCTTTCCCCCCCCTTCCCCCCCTCCCCTTTGTCCCCCCCCCTCACCCCCCCTTCCCCTCCCCTCCTCCCCCCCCTCTCCGCCCCTACCGCGGCCCACCCCCCACCTCCCCCCAACCCCCCCCCCACCCCTCCTCCCCCTTTCCTCCTCTTTTCCCCCACTCCACCCCTCTCCCCCTTCCTTCACCCCCCTTTTCCCGTCCCCTCCCCCCCCTCCCCCATTCAGCCGCCCTCCACCCTCCCTCTTCATTTATTCAGCCACTCCACTCCCGCACCAACCTGTCTCCTCCTCCGTTGGACCTTTGACGTAGCTCCATCATGCCCCGCGAAACTCTCCAGTTATGCATATTTACTCTCCCACCTTAACTGTTCTTCCCCCGGCATCTAATAGCACATCTACTCTCCCCCCCCCCCCTTTCTTTTACTACCCCTCCCCCTCTTCCCCTCCCTGACCTCTCCTCTTTCCTTCTCATCTCCTCCCCCTCCCCCCCTTCCCCCCTCCCCCCATCCCCCTCCCCCCCCCCCCTCACCCCACCTACCCCCTCCCCGCCTCCCCCCCCCCCGAAGCACACTCATCTATTCCACACCCTATACCATCATCCTCATCACCGCAAACTATGTGTGTAGTAATATGATGTTTGAATGTAATATGAACCAATCGTAGTAACAGCTTCAGCTCTTGTGCACACGCTGCATGTATACAAAAAAGCAGAGTAAATAGCTAAGCAATAAACAGTTTTCGTACTAGCTACTAAAAAGCAGTAAGGTTTAGCGATTGCAAATTACCCTGTTTGTGCGTAAGCAATGGCGATGAATGCGCTGGAGAACAATAAAGCCACGGCTTTTATCCCATCTTTGCGAACTGCACGGCTTCTCGGGTTCTGAGGAGTTTCTCAAAGCTGTGCAATAATTATTATCAGGAAGAGGGAGAGATCGCTCGAGATAGAAGAATGTGCAGAATAAGCTAAACGTAATCATGACGAATTTTTGACGTCTCCGTCGCGTCGCCGGCTCATATGGTTATTAACCCTCGGCGCGCATGCGCAGCGAGGGTTACGTCATTCTGTCCGTCCGTCCGGCCGTGTGCCGCCACCACGCGCAACGAGACAACAAAATAGCGATACCCTGATTTCTACACTGCTTGAGTTTAAAAATAGGGATTTTCGTAGAAGTACTGCGTTCTAAAGTTATGGCGTGAAAACCAAGCGAACAAGCCAATTGCCTTACCTCGACCTGATCCGCTTGCTCTTTGTACCTCGGAGGCACAAGAAGTCACAACGAAGGGCGTGTATCGACTCCCGCATGCTACTGTAGCTAGTCCCTATCGGACTCTCCGCATATATACTAGCAGGAGACCACGAGTAAACGCATACTAATAAAAATAGAAATACAGCGGTTTTCGTTTCTCTTGGCCGGCTATATACTAGTAACAGTTCTAGATACGTAGCTAGATAGCTAGCTATATTTAGTAGCTAGTCACGGTATAATACCTGACAAAGTAAATATACTTAGCTCCTCAGTAAACACCCTAAAAGGAAGTGGCAAACTCGTGACCAGGCCCGAAACGGCATTATAATATAGCTATTCGGCCTTCTCTGTCAGCAGAGATATGGAATCTGTCGGACGCCGGCGTTTCAAGAGGCGGCGTCAACCGGGCAGCCAGGGGGCGATTCCAGCCTCAAAGCGCCAGCGTTTTGTTACCATGGATGGGACAGGTTATCAGGTATGTGTTGTTGGTACTAGTCGTGAGGGGATCGCCGTGGATTTTAGTAACGGCCAGGGCGCAGGGGAAGCTCCCAGCAGTAGTTTTACCCCCATGATCTCCTCTTCGCCACAAATACAAAGGTGGAAAGGGAAAAGGAGAAAAGGTTCAGGTTTGAAGAATACAAAGAGGGAAAAAATCGAGCTGGAAGGTCAATATGTAGACTTTTCAAAGCCAGAGCAATTAAAAGGTGTATTCAATAATCCAGTTGGCCATCAGGTCTCACTTTTGGTAAATAATCCCTCTCTCACAAAATATATGAATTCATCGTCTTCAGATTTCACAAGTGTTTCTATGATGATGAAGCTTTTTGACAACACTCTTTTTTGTAAACATGAGGCGCTTTGTAAAAGATCTCAATCAGAAGTCATTCCAAAGCTCTTTGAAAACCGTGGCTTTCTTGAGGCAGTGAGATATCATCTTTGCTGCTTGCCAGGGAGAGCCAGTAATCAAGAAAGGGTTAGTTCTGTGTTTTTCATTGAACAGCTCTGTAAATTGTTCAAGCTTCTCTTGTCCTCTTGCTACGTTGATTTAGCAACTGACATTCTTCCAGTAGACACACTTTTGGGAACCACTGGGCAGCTTTCTAGCCAAGAGTTGCGTTTTAAAGTGCTGCATGATAAGGCCACAGAAATAATACAAATGAGGGACAAAGTGAGACAAATCAAATATAATGTGTCAGAAACTAAGGAAGTGGCAACAGATGTCGTTGTCCTCCCAACCAAAGCAGAGCTTCAGACGAACACTTTACCTGCTAATCTTCAGCGTAATGTTATTAATGGGCCATACACCAGTGAGCTTCAATATCTTAATATACAATATTGTTTGTTGCGGGAAGATTTCATACACCCACTACGCTGTGCTATACATCAAATTGAATCAGATGAAGAGGATTCCCACAAGGTGAAATTTTATGATGCTACTATACGTAGCAAAGGTTACTCATCATATGAAAGTTCAACATTTGAAGTTTCATTCAAAGCTCCGGGTCACCATTTAATACAATGGGACCGTAGCAAGCGTTTACAGTTTGGTGATCTTGTATGCTTGATGAATGATACTAGTGGCATAATGATATTTGCTACAGTAGCTGAAAGGAAAGTGGATCATCTCAAGAAAGGGCTAGTTACGCTAGACATTCGAACAAACATTGATGTAATGGGACTACCTCCTGTAGGTTATCGCATGTTTGAATCCCCAAGTTTCTATGCTGCTTATGCGCCCGTCCTTCGACACCTTTATGCTCTTCAGAAGAGCCCTAGATCCCTACCATTTTCTAGATACATAGTCAAATTAAAGACAGACGTTAAACTCCCTGAGTATGTCTGTGGCGAAGCCTATACCCTCAACCTACACAATATTGTGTGCGATGAAGAGCACAATGCAGGTGAGCAGTCTTTGTGTGCATCAGTAAATATCCTAAGTGAAGAAGCATGGGAAGACCTTCCAACACCTAACTTTGACGACTCTCAGAAAAGGGCACTGCGTTCTGCCCTCACACAAGAACTGTCAATTATCCAAGGTCCTCCAGGGACCGGTAAGACGTACATTGGCTTGAAGTTGGTTGAGACTCTTCTTCTGAATAGAGCTTCTTGGGACACTGAATCTTCATCGGCAGTGGTAGTTGTGTGCTACACAAACCATGCCCTCGACCAGTTTCTTGAAGGAATAATCAGAAAGGTAGGAGTAACAATAGAGAAGGATATAAAAGTAAGACGAGTCGGTGGAAGAAGTAAAAGCCAACTGTTAAAAGAATACAATATAAATCAGTTTGTACTAAGGCGTTTACGGGCCAAGAAAATATTTGGCTTCTGGAGGAAAGAAAACAGCAAAGTAGTTGAAAAGCTTGACACTTTGAATGACTTGAAGAAAAGAATGTTTGACCCAGACAGAGTGAGAGTCTATGCCTCCTTTCTTGGAGCAGAATACAGAAGTTTGTTGTTTTCCTTTTCACATTTTATCGCTGATGCAAGTACAAGTACAGTCACATCATGGCTTGGTTTCCCCCCTCCCCACCACACACCTGATTATCCAAATACAGCCCAAAGGATAGCCGAGGATGACCGGAGAATTGTTGGCGAGGACATTGAGGGTGAAATAATTGAAGAGTATGGTTCAGAACAGATACAAAAGTGTTTTAATCACCTTGCAAAAGCTGAGCCGCTAACTGACACACGAGCAAATGAACAAGCTAAGCTTGACCCTGAACAGATTGAACCGTATGTCCGTCTGCAATTATTTAAGTACTGTCTTCTGAGTACAAGGGGTAAGCTTGAAGATAAGCTGAAGCACGGAAAAAAGGGAGAAGAATCTTTGTGCTGTGCAAAGAGCGGTATTATTGGACATACGAAAAGAAATGTCTGACTTACCACCCACTCCGGACAGTCATGAACACCATAGAAATGAACTTGGAAAAGTAGATTTGTGTACACTATAATATTGAAACATACAGCAGAAAAGTGAGTTGGGGGCACACAGTGATAGTCAGGCACATACTAGCCATTACCTGTACTTTCAAAATGAAATAGGTTTACTAAATATTTGGGACAAACAGTATCGAGCATGCAGGCATTACAGATCCGTTTTTCCACAACCACAGCTCTATGTGTGGACTTTTTTTATCTGTGTACTTTGGTTCACCCACATGTAAGGGTGGCTTGATTTTAAACAGCAGCGGTAAACCTGGCCATCAACAGCTACACAGACCCTAACTCACATGGTATGGTGATCTTGGTGGAAATGCCAGCACCTGCACTGGTCTTTGCTGCTACCTCCACACAATACTCCTTTCCAGGCATTAATCCATCACTAATAGTAATGAACACCTCTTGGACTAAAACAGATTGCTTGTTAGAGGATCCAAATCCAAACACTGGTAGGTGTTTAATTCCTCAAAGACTACCACATATGAGTCTAGAAAACCCCTTAGTTCCTCCAGTGATAGAGCCTCCCATAACAGATGTAGTGAGGTGGCATCTGTTCTTTCAGACAGGATTAGTTCTGGTTCAACCGATGGAACTATGGAAAATTATGTAAGCAATTCTAACACTGATCAAGCTCAAGCTATATAATCACCTCCCTCTTCTGAAAATATTATTTGACTCAGAGCAATCCCTTCACCGGCATGTGTAAAAGCAGAGACCACCACAGTGTATGGTACAAATGGTTCTACATATGGGAGATAACTTTTTGAGGGTTTTAAAAAATAGTGTTTACCAATGCCATCCGATACGGTCACGTTTGTGGATGTATCTGGAACAAACAGGGAGACTGTGTAGTTGTAAACTTTATTGTAGACAACAATTTTATATTTGGTCAAAATCCCATTGTGATATTCAGGAAGACTCCAGGACACAAGAAGTTCGTTTGGTGATAGTGCGCTAACTTCAAAATCTGTCACTTGCGATGGTACTGTTTTGAGTAGAAAGTTAAAATCTAAAGCAGTCATTAATAATAACCACTTACCTGCTTGACTTGTGCGTTCTGATATTGTTGACGAAAGAGGCCCTTCCCCTATAACGGTACTGGCTGAAATATTGATGCTGATGAGCTGATGTGGAGACAGTCCATTCAACTTGTAAATCCTATCCGTTGCTTTGACATCAATTTCTTGGCTTGTGCCATTGTTATAGTCAGCGTAAATGGTGTAAAGTGTAATGATACCATTTGGGGTGAGCGGAGGTTCCCATTCAATGATCACAGCATAGGCACTGTGGTTGTTGACCGTGACGTTTTGTGGCACATCACTTGGTACTGAACAACAGTTGTAATAGTATAAAGTAACTATACCACACAACGTTTACACTATGCTTACTGTCTTGCAAGGTTTCTTCTGTAGCACACACAGTGCTTGAGTGTCCATTTGTCGTCAAAGCACTAGCACAACAAGTGTAGTTTGAAAATGGAGCCAAATTAACAAGGTCGTACTCCAGTAGTCCAACATCAACAGACACAAGGTGATAGTATCCGAAGCTAGATGTGCAGTTTACTTCATAACTTGTTACACTGCCATCTCTTTCGTCTAGCTGTGGCCCCTCCCAATCCAAGTGCAACGTCATAGAGCTGCTAGCATTCAGTGATACGTTCTGTGGTGGTCCTAAATATTATTATGGTAACCATATTTATTGACTGATAAAAATAATGATTACCGAGACAGCTATGTGAATCCAATCCAAGACTGAAGTCATCATAACAGGTGCAAAAGTATGATCCATTAGTGTTGGTACACAGTTGCTCACAATTAGATGTTCCCTCGAAACATTCGTCAATATCTGCATCAACATTATCATGACATAGGTATTCATGAGGTATTACACTATTGAGATAATATTATTTTCATGAAGTGTTAGAGTCAATACCTTCGTCACAATTGTCTCCGGTCCAGCCTTCGGGACAGATGCATGTGTATGGTGCAATACAGGTGTGGTTGCTATCACAGTCCTCGCAAAATGCTATTGGGATTTTAGTTCATTTACTCTTAGTCTGATGCATAATTATTGACAACATACGTTCACAGCTAATGCCTCCTGCTGGGTCATGGTAGCCAGCACAACACTCATAAACAAGATTATAAGATGTATCAGATCGATATTGCAGGGCAGAGCCGTAACTGGTGCTGAGCAACAATTCAGAGCAATTCTCATGATGACATCATAGAGAAAACAACCCCTCACCTGCCACAACGTGACCAGCCAAATATACCGCAACTATATGTGTAGTAATATGATGTTTGAATGTAATATGAACCAATCGTAGTAACAGCTTCAGCTCTTGTGCACACGCTGCATGTATACAAAAAAAAGCAGAGTAAATAGCTAAGCAATAAACAGTTTTCGTACTAGCTACTAAAAAAGCAGTAAGGTTTAGCGATTGCAAATTACCCTGTTTGTGCGTAAGCAATGGCGATGAATGCGCTGGAGAACAATAAAGCCACGGCTTTTATTCCCATCTTTGCGAACTGCACGGCTTCTCGGGTTCTGAGGAGTTTCTCAAAGTCTTGTGCAATAATTATTATCAGGAAGAGGGAGAGATCGCTCGAGAAGGGATAGCAGAATGTGCAGAATAAGCTAAACGTAATCATGACGAATTTTTGGCGTCTCCGTCGGCCGGCTCATATGGTTATTAACCCTCGGCGCGCATGCGCAGCGAGGGTTACGTCATTCTGTCCGTCCGTCCGTGTGCCGCCACCACGCGCAACGAGACAACAAAATAGCGATACCCTGATTTCTACACTGGCTTGAGTTTAAAAATAGGGATTTTCGTAGAAGTACTGCGTTCTAAAGTTATGGCGTGAAAACCAAGCGAACAAGCCAATTGCCTTACCTCGACCTGATCCGCTTGCTCTTTGTACCTCGGAGGCACAAGAAGTCACAACGAAGGGCGTGTATCGACTCCCGCATGCTACTGTAGCTAGTCCCTATCGGACTCTCCGCATATATACTAGCAGGAGACCACGAGTAAACGCATACTAATAAAAATAGAAATACAGCGGTTTTCGTTTCTCTTGGCCGGCTATATACTAGTAACAGTTCTAGATACGTAGCTAGATAGCTAGCTATATTTAGTAGCTAGTCACGGTATAATACCTGACAAAGTAAATATACTTAGCTCCTCAGTAAACACCCTAAAAGGAAGTGGCAAACTCGTGACCAGGCCCGAAACGGCCTCTCTGTCAGCAGAGATATGGAATCTGTCGGACGCCGGCGTTTCAAGAGGCGGCGTCAACCTGGCAGCCAGGGGGCGATTCCAGCCTCAAAGCGCCAGCGTTGTGTTACCATGGATGGGACAGGTTATCAGGTATGTGTTGGTACTAGTCGTGAGGGGATCGCCGTGGATTTTAGTAACGGCCAGGGCACAGGGGAAGCTCCCAGCAGTAGTTTTACCCCCATGATCTCCTCTTCGCCACAAATACAAAGGTGGAAAGGGAAAAGGAGAAAAGGTTCAGGTTTGAAGAATAAAAAGAGGGAAAAAATCGAGCTGGAAGGTCAATATGTAGACTTTTCAAAGCCAGAGCAATTAAAAGGTGTATTCAATAATCCAGTTGGCCATCAGGTCTCACTTTTGGTAAATAATCCCTCTCTCACAAAATATATGAATTCATCGTCTTCAGATTTCACAAGTGTTTCTATGATGATGAAGCTTTTTGACAACACTCTTTTTTGTAAACATGAGGCGCTTTGTAAAAGATCTCAATCAGAAGTCATTCCAAAGCTCTTTGAAAACCGTGGCTTTCTTGAGGCAGTGAGATATCATCTTTGCTGCTTGCCAGGGAGAGCCAGTAATCAAGAAAGGGTTAGTTCTGTGTTTTTCATTGAACAGCTCTGTAAATTGTTCAAGCTTCTCTTGTCCTCTTGCTACGTTGATTTAGCAACTGACATTCTTCCAGTAGACACACTTTTGGGAACCACTGGGCAGCTTTCTAGCCAAGAGTTGCGTTTTAAAGTGCTGCATGATAAGGCCACAGAAATAATACAAATGAGGGACAAAGTGAGACAAATCAAATATAATGTGTCAGAAACTAAGGAAGTGGCAACAGATGTCGTTGTCCTCCCAACCAAAGCAGAGCTTCAGACGAACACTTTACCTGCTAATCTTCAGCGTAATGTTATTAATGGGCCATACACCAGTGAGCTTCAATATCTTAATATACAATATTGTTTGTTGCGGGAAGATTTCATACACCCACTACGCTGTGCTATACATCAAATTGAATCAGATGAAGAGGATTCCCACAAGGTGAAGTTTTATGATGCTACTATACGTAGCAAAGGTTACTCATCATATGAAAGTTCAACATTTGAAGTTTCATTCAAAGCTCCGGGTCACCATTTAATACAGTGGGACCGTAGCAAGCGTTTACAGTTTGGTGATCTTGTATGCTTGATGAATGATACTAGTGGCATAATGATATTTGCTACAGTAGCTGAAAGGAAAGTGGATCATCTCAAGAAAGGGCTAGTTACGCTAGACATTCGAACAAACATTGATGTAATGGGACTACCTCCTGTAGGTTATCGCATGTTTGAATCCCCAAGTTTCTATGCTGCTTATGCGCCCGTCCTTCGACACCTTTATGCTCTTCAGAGAGCCTAGATCCCTACCATTTTCTAGATACATAGTCAAATTAAAG